CGGCGCGCTGATGTCAGCGCGCCCCTTAAGGTGGACTGGGCTGCCGGGTGGGAGGGCGGGGCGCCGGACCAGCGGGCCCCCTGCTCGCAGCCCCGCCCGCGACCCCCACGCACGCGCCCTCGACTTTCGGGAATCTCAGAGGGGCGGGGTCACTCCTGCCTATGGGGTCCTGGCCCGCAGGCGCTGGCCTAGTTCGGTCCTGGGCCTGTGCGCACAGACAGTTCTCTACACAGCTTCTTCCCCCTAAACACTGTCGGCCCGTCCCAAGGCAGGCTGATGGCCCTCGCTCCGTGCTATTCCCGGGCGGGGCCAGAATGTTCTCATCTGCAGCCCCCGACAGTCACGAGGGTCGAGTGGGGGTTGTGACACTGCAGGGACACAGTGATTGTTTACCAGCTCTGCCCACCTCACAGCCTTCGGGGCAGTGGGCGGGACAGAACTCTGCCAGCGAGCTGCGGGTCCGTCCGCGTCCTCGCCCAGTATGCAAGCTTGAGAGCCAAGGCTGATGTGAGACACAGGGGCGCCTCCCAGAGGCAGCGTGGCCCCTTGGGAGCACTGGGACCCGGGATAGGTCGGGAGCGCAGGCCCACATCCTGCAGGAAATCCCACCCGCCAGCGCCGTGGCTGCCACCACTTAAGGTGGACCGGTGTCCGAGGACGCCTGAGATGTGAGCAGGCCACTGGGCACCTGCACTGACTTCTGCCAGGCAGCAGCAGCGCCTTTCGTGAGTGGGGACATCCATCAACTTTCATTGCCTCCCACAGCAAGGATTTCTTGTCCTGGCCACTACAGCAGGACCCTCCTCCAAATCCAGGCCCAATAGAACCCTCCCTAGGTGGGGATTCTTGGTGGGGACTCTTGCCTGCCCTGGGTATCTGCTCCTCCCTAGCCAAGACATAGTAGCAGCAGCCACCTCCTGCCTGCCACCCTGTCACGTCTGTTTCTTGACCTGGAGGCCAATCTTTGCCTTGTGAGCCTAATGAAGCACCTAGTGAGGTCCTCATGGTAGGCTGTTACAGGAAACCCAGGCCCTGGACCCTTAATGCAGCTAGCGATCCAACAGCACAAATGGTAGCGATGACCTCTCTGTTCTGCAGGTGGTCTCACTTCAAGAAGCCCAGCACAAGGGCGGGGAGGGCGCTCTCAGCACTGAGGACCTTGAGGCAGTGGGTCTCCCAGCACAATGGCAAGCAGAGTGCACATTCCCTCAGCTCTAGGTTACAAACACCTTTCCAGGTGAACAGCACCTTATCCATGGCCTTACTCCTGTTCCTGCCCTTCTGCAGCCCAGAACAAAGGAGGCTCAGACTCCATCATGAGGGACCATTCCCCCAGACTGGGCTCCTTTGTAAGACTCCTTCATCTAACTCCCAGATTGTTGAGATTATAGGTGTGGGCCACCTCACCCAGCCATGTACTATTCTTTTTTCAATGGGATAGTACTTTTGTTACTGTGAAATCTTGTAGTGTTGCTCTTACCCCTAAGATGCAAATCCTCCATTAGCCTGTTATCCACACTGTATCTTCTACCTAATCACTTGATACTTAGTAGCCTTCTTATGGCAGTGCTTCAAGTTCCCTTTATTTTACTTAATAGAGCCAAAGTACAGGATAGTGAAGCTGGTCGAACAGCTTCCTTTAAATGAAAAAATGAGTTTCAACTTAATTAGGAAAGATAAAAAATAGTATTAGCTGGGCATGGTGCCAAAAGCCTGTAATCCCAGCACTTGGAAGGCTGAGACAAGAGGATCCTTGCAAATTCAAGGCCAGCCTGGACTACCCAGAGTGCAAGGCCAGCCTTAACTAGGTAGCAAGACCATCTCAAAAAACAAAAAGCCAGGTGTGGTGGCACAAGCCTGTAAACCCAGCGCTCTGGAGGCTGAGGCCAGTCTGAACTACAGTGAGAAGTTGTCTAAAAAAAACTATGCTTAAAGTGCTAAGATTTACAGTACAAAGTATTTTCATGAAAAACAGACACCGATGATAGGGGAAAAAAGTTACTAAAATCCAGCATGGCTAGTATATTTAAGTGTACCTTGATTTAGTATAGTTGTTTTATATGTTTTAGTCTGGCAATTTATAATAGACTTTAAAAAAAAGAATTTTGAAATTATATTATAGCAGTTATGATTATCCTTTTGTTTTTAATCTCTTATATACTCAATTTATAAACTTTGTCTTAGGTACCTAAGAAGAAAATCTAGTGTTTTATAGGGCTTGATACTACCTGAGGTTTCAGGCATCCACTCAGAATCTTGGAATATCAATCACTTTGGGAAAGGTGGGACTGCCATTACATCAATGCATTTCTTATAAGAATTCCAGCAAAGGTTAAGACCTGTCAAAGCAGCCCACCTGGAAATGTGCCAAGCCAGGTGGCTTACATAGGCCCTGCTGGTGTCCTTACTCAACCTATAACATTATCAACATGACCGATATCTGGACTCACGCCTCTGCACTCACCTCCCTCCTGTAGTATCAGCAAACCACTTCCTTGACAATATCCAACAAGCACAAGAGAACAGTGTCTCCAGCAATTGTGAGGGGTCTTTTTGCTACCAGGGCCTCCCCTTTGACACTTCTCCCCCAAGGTGAAGGAGCTCAACCTGGAGTCATATTAGACCCCAAAGCAAAGACTGTTAAGCATCTTTTCTAAGCCTAAAGGGGTACCTAACAGCTAACAGCTTTTCTTGAGAAAGATCAAGACATGTCACCTGACTGCCATGACTACTGGCCTAGAGTGGGCTTTACAGGGAGTACAGCACAGTGAGAAATCACCTGTGGTAAACCATGCCACAATTCCAGTGTATCAGGAGCTTGCCATATGTACAAATGAGCCTGTCTTCTGAGGGTAGAAAGAGCCCAACCAAGTTTGCAACTTGCTAGAAGCAATTTGCAAGGCCTCTGGCAGGCAGGACATAACAGAGACAGCCAGTGAAGTCAACTGGGCCTTAAAACCAGGAATGGTGATGCATGCTTGTTAATCCCAGCACTTAGGAGGCTAAGGCAGGAAGATTTAAAGTAGTTTTTTTTTTTTTTAAACTGGGAATCAAACTCAGGACCTTGTACTTGCCAGGCAGGAGCTTGTGCCACTGAGCTGTATCCCCAGCCCAGATGTAAAGTTTAAGCTCAACCTTGGCAACATAGTGAGTTCAATGCTAGCCTGAGCTATGTAGCTATGTAGCAAGACTGTCTCAAAAAACCAAACCAGCCCAAAACAAAAGCCCAAGAACAGTTACATTTGGAAATGCATTACCCCAGGAAGGACGAAGGACTGGTGCTTAAACAAGACACATGGTCACAAGACAGGGCAGGATACAACTGTAGCTAGCTGGTAGGAGACAGGCTGATAGTCAGAGAAAGCAAGAGCAATGAGCAGGTAGTCACACTGTGAAGCAGTTCTACTAGGTATTGATGCCAAACTGCCTCAGCAAACATGATTAAGGCCCTCTTGAGGCCAGGTCCTCAAAGCCCTATCTCTAAAGTTACCCACAACACATTATGACAGCAAGATCACACTCTCAAAAGCCTCTCATATACTGAAAACCCTTCTCTCCTTAACATGACGTCTAGAGACCTGTTTTTAGGTTGACTCCCAAATGGCACTCTTGAAAATGTCTCTTTGACACTACTGTGAACATCCAACAATGCTGAGTTTAGACTTTAAGCCCAGGAGGTCCACAGTCCAAATGAAGTTTTCTCTGAGGACAAGGTAGGATATCTGACAGGGATTTCCCATAGGAGGGCCACAGGGATTGCTCTCTCAAGGGAAGACCAAAACTAACACTGGCCCAAAAGCCCAGAGACCTGTTCAGCTGGCTTCTACCTCCTGTACTGAAGTCAATATACTCTGGTAGATTTCCTGTTCCCAGCACACTCAAATGCAAATCACACCTCCCCTCACCACAGTGCAGAACAGTGGCTCACAGAGGCAGTGCACACCTCAGCCCTGAGCACCTACTTTCAACTGTGAGCCCAAGATGCCCAGCTCACTAGGCAGCCCTGGCACTTGTTCAGGTACTCTCCCAAAACAGCCTAAAGCAGCAGAAGTTGTCCAAGGCCTCAGTAAGGTAAGTGCACAACCTCAGCAATGTGAGAGGGAGTGTTCCAGGAAATCAAACTATGGTGATGTGGAGACCAGCTGCTACTGCTGCAGACTTGGACATGCACTCAAGGCGCACAGGTGAGCAACCCGGAGCAGGCAAGACATCAGTGCTCACCACGCTGCCCCACACACAAAGTCCTGCCATCTGGTCCAGGTTTCAAATGCATTTTTTATTTACTATTTTCGATGACTATAAATAAGTGTTTCCACTATGGAAAAGAAAGTTAGCACAGTACATTTTCATGACTGGGGAATGGATTTTCTGAAGTCATCTTCAATAGGGTAAAAACTTAGAAAAACAAAACCAAAAAATGGCCTGAATGTTGGAATTCAGTTCTTTATATAAAGTCCCGTGTAGAAACAAAACAGAATTAAAAATAAAACCAAAAAAAAGGGAGGGAGGGCAAAATTTAAAAAAGAAAAGAAAAAGGAAGGAAAAGGAGAGAAGTTAAGAGGACTCATTGCTTCTCCGACTTCTCTTCAGTCTCCTCTCCAGGCTCTTTGTTCTCCTCCTTCACAGAGAGAGCTTCTAGCTTTTCAGTTACTTTTTCCGCATTGTCATTTTTGCCCAGTCCTGCTAAACAAAGCACAAGTAAGCACAGTGAAAGAAATAGCAAAGAAGTCTAGCTTCTTAGACTAAGTGCCCCTTGCCAAGCCAAGTTCAGAAGCCACCACATCAAAGCATCAACCTCCACTCACTCTTCCCAGCTGAGCTCAGAGGCACCAGCAAATGCTGCTGGCCACTCCTGCTGCAGGGTTCAGTGACATGTGGTCACCTGCTAGAGCAGCCAGCTGAGGAGCAAGAGACTGACTCTTCTGAGAAAATGAGGACCATCCCAATGTACCTTTAGCCCATCACAGGTTCCAGTCATGACTCAACTGGCTACCTGGACTAGAGTGATATGAGATCAATGACAGTGCTTGGGAGCCTACCAGGAAGCATTCTATGTCCCCAAGAAGCTGCATTACCCCCCTGACAGGTCAAGGCTACTACAGCTCCCTGGAATGGTTCTCTGGCAGACAGAAAAAGCACCTGCCTGGAGGCTGCAGCCAAGTGCAGAGTGAGTCTGCAAGGAAGCCGCCCACCGCCCCACCATGTCACCTTTTTTTTCTCTCTCTTCAATCTCTTTCCTGCATTCTTCAAACTTTGTTTTAAATTTTTGTGCATCTATGGAAAGAAAAGAAATGACTTCATAAGAGCCCTGGCCATGCAAAGGATACATCCTACAGGGTTTGAACAGGCAGGGTTCAGAAAGGGCCCTGTGGCTGACAGTATGGGGCTGCAGGTGCAGGTATGGTGCAGTGACCATTTACTGAGTCCCTCCTGAAGCTGACAGCTATACTAAACCATCTCTATTAGTCTTAACAATTTGGCAACCAAGGGGTGGTGTACTTCCTTGTATTAGAATGGCTGCTAGACAGCCCCATTCCCAGAGCAATGGTGAGGCTCATTCAGCACCATACCATCAGCCAATGGGGTGCTGTCCACAGCACACATCAACTCCTCCAGTATCTGCTGGGCATAGCTTTTGACAATCCAGATGGGAAAGAAACCAGAGCAGATGAGTGGCCCTGGGTTTGTGGGTCTCTGCTGATTACTGGTGCCCAGGTGACCGTATGAGGACATCACTACTCCTAGCCTTGCAGTGGGTCCACATGTCCAAAAGGAACTGGAATTTGGGCAGCAAACCAAGTATTAGACACAAGACTGCTCAGTGGACATTTGTTCAGCAGCTTGGTACAGATAACTTGGAATTTAACAGCAGATCAGCACTGTCCTCAGTCACTATCAGCTTCCCCAAGCATTTGTTTGCAATGAAATCACTGCACTGTCAAGCAGGCAAGCAGACAGTCCAGTCAGGAAGGTCCCCAGCACCCCCTTCTGCTTACTCTCAGCATTTAGGAAGCGGATGGCAAGCAGCTCCGGCTTGGGATACTCATCGGCGAAGTCAGCGTGGGTATTCCAGACCCAGGCACGGTCACTGCCAGCATTTGGCTTTAGCTCCATCATGGGTGTGACTGTGGGGGAGAAAGACTATGAGGATGGTGAGGGCCAATGAGGCCAGCTCAGCCCCCTGCAGCTAGAGTGCCCCACTCACTGGCCCACTTTAGGGAACACAGACAGTTTAGGGTCTGAGAACCAGACCTAGACGAAGTCTCCTGGGGTCTGAATTTTGTACAAACTTCTTTGAAAATGCCCCATATTCACTTCACACCACAACCCTCCTGTGTGTGGGAACAGGGCAGCCTGCTTCCTGATCATAAGGACACTCAGCAAAGGTCTCCTGAACCATCATCCTAGGACCACTTAGTCTGTAAAACCTACCTCCAGAAAAGCAGCTCCGGCCCAATCCCAGCCCTCTGCTCCAAACCCTGGCTGTGCAGTCCCATGGCCTGGTGTCTGACATTAAGGTATAGGCCAAGGGGGCCAGCCTTTCCTAACAGCACTCCACATGTGACTACATCCACATTCATCAACACCATTAGGGACCTGGCCATGGGCAGATGGGAGGGAGTGGAAAGAAAGAAGCTTAGAAGCAGAAATATCACCCAGAGGGCACATGGTCATGCTGCCCAACCACTCAACAGTCCAGAGACCACTAGGGGATGAGGACAAAAGTAGTTGACACCAGGTGTTCCACGACACACTTCAATGTCACAGAAGACACAGCTATGGCCCAAAATAAATACACTTATCCTGAACCCCTTAGCTCCCATCCAGACCCAAGGGGAAACAAGTGGAGACAAGTCCCAGCACCAAGCAGGGAGCTGCCCCAAAGAAAAGCCTGTCTGCAGATGGGCCTGTAAGGTAACAACTCACCAGGAAGGTTCCCAAAGACCAGGAATGTCCCTGGTGAATGTGCCTAGACAGCGTCCCCCCTCTCCTGGTAGAAGTCTTCAGAGACTCCAGTGGGCTAATGGCCTCCCTACCCACTCTCAACAATCACACCTGAAACCAAGAGCTCAGGGATCTTGTCCACCAAAGGCTGACACAGTCATCACTGGGGTCCTTGAATGCTAACCAGTTCTCTCCCACATCCTACATGGCCTGGCCTCCACCCATGACCACCCTCTCCATCCACTGAGGGCCCATGACAGGCACCAGGCACTGCTGGCCACATTAGCATCTCTGCCAAGACACCCAAAGCTCTCACAGAAACTATCTAGAAACCAGAGCTAGCTCCCTAGAAGTTTTTCAGGCTTGGACTAGGAGAGGCAAGTGGTAACCATGGTATAGGGGAGGACTGAGGTCTTTCTCATGCCCCTTCAGACCCATGCACCCTTCCATATCATCCTTAAAGGACACTCAACCCCAGTCTCTGTCTGCAATTACCTCTGTGCCCAGGACAAGGGTCTCTGCCCCATCAGACAAATTATGCTCAGAAAACAGACATGGCACAGGCAGTACACCAAGGGACAGTCCAAGATGCACATGTGAACGCAGAACCCACCAGGAGCCCTCTTGGCAGCCGCAGACTAACATAGCATAGGGGACCCATTGTTGCTACTTCCTGGCTACCCCCCACATTATAAGCTCCACCACAGGGTTGTTCGTGATTCAGAAGCACATATGAGAAACACACTTATTTTAAACTCAACAAGCATCACAAACATGCTCAGCACGTAGCATCACTCCCCAGAGTGCTGGGCTCAGGGGCAAACATGATCCCAGAGTCAACCTACTATAGTGGTTGGCGCAGATCTTCAGGGTCTTGTCCCTCCTCATGAGGAGGCGGATGGTCCCCTTATCCTTATGCTTCAGGAGCTTGACGTCACCAGTGCCTCGTTCCTTCCACTCTGGGCTATCATTCTCTGAAGCAAATCGGAACAACTTTGCTCGCCTGTGAGAAAAACCATTAAATGAGTGCTTAGACTGCAGAGAGGGGAATGCACACCCTAAATGTTTCATCAGAAAGAACATCTGTCCTTCAAGCATTAAACACATGGCACAACTCTGCACTGTAGGACCCCATGTCTCTACAAACACCCTTTCCCTTCTTCAGGCTCTGAAAAACACTAGGGAAAATAACACCCAAATGAGCACAACAGCTCAACAAATTCCAGGTTGTTTTTACTTCACAACCAAAAAGACATTGACTCCTGCTAACAGAAATGTAACCTCAAAGGGACATGTGCCCAAAGTGGTTAAAGAAGCCCTCAGTGAGCTGTACATCCCAGCCACCACGCAAGAGCAGGCCATACGATAAAGAGCCATGGTGAACAACTCCTCCTCCGCAGGCCAGGCCTTCCCTTCAACTGTGAGACAGAGGTCCCTATTCTCCCTACAGCCCCCAAAACGGAGAGGGACCAAGCCTGTTTGGGCAGGCAAGCCCTGGGTAATCACCCAGGAACAGCACTTCACTTCCACTAGGGATCTAGGGACCCAGGACCTGGCAGTGAATCCAACCAGTCTTGTCTTTCAGACTAGGCCAACACGTTCCCCCGCACACAAAGCCCTGACTATTTCTCCTCTGCTTAAGACAATCCATTTCTCCAAACTCAATTCTGTCAAGGAAGATAACGTCCCCAACAAGATTTGTTACAGGAGGCCCAAGGGCCCACACAGCTGGCCTTATATCCCACAGCAAGAGTTCCTGTCCAAGTAGAGGCACATTTCTACCCCATGTGGGCAGAGATGGCAGAAGCAAATATCGTGTCACCCTAGGAAGGAGCCACTAAGGGGCGGGGGTGCATCCTCCAGGTGGACCAGAAACCTAGTGATTCAGTGTTTTCAGGGAAATGTCTCGCCAACCCCTGGGACCAGAGGCACTGCAGCCTTTCTCTTCTCTAGGCCTCCCTCTCCCACCCATTTCTTTCAGAACAGTCAAACTATAACCTGACAGCTTAGACATGCTTCAAAGAAAGGGGTTTTCCTAGGAAAAACAATCTTACTTTCACTAATGTGTAACTTAATCTAGTGTTTCCAGTAATTCTGAGTGTAGGCAAAAGGCCAAAATCTCTGTGATATCCCAAGGCACCAAGCTTGTAGCCAGAACTGCTTCAAAACCACACTTGCCACTGCAGTTCTTCATTGAAGCTGCCAAGTAGCATGTGTAGAGTAACTTTTACAAAGGAACCTTGAGCCGGGCATGGTGGTGCACACCTGTAATCCCAGCACTCGGGAGGTTGAGGCAGGAGGACTGTTGCATGTTCGAGGCCAGTTTGGGCTACATAGTGAGTTGAAGGCCAGTCTGAACTGCATAGTAAGACCCTGTCTCAAAGGTGGGGAGGCTTTATACCTGAGTCACCACCCATTTTCCTTGTAATTTCAGGCATTATTTTGTGCATGAAAGACATTAAGTAGGTGGCTCATAAGCTTCAGATTGTTAAAGTCATCTGTCATGGTTTGAATGTACCCCTAGAGTTCATATATTAGAAATTTTAATTCAGCTGGGCATGGTGACAGCACTCTGGAGGCTAAGGAAGAAGGATCAGATTGCTCCAAATTTCAGGCAAGTCTGAACTACATAATGTGACCCTGTCTCAAACAAACAAACAAAACAAAGCTTTAATCCCACATTCATGTATTTGGAAGCAGGGATCTCTGGAAGGTAAAAAGGACCAGATGAGATCAAGAGGATCAGGCCCTCATGATGCCATACAGTGCCTTTGGAAAAAGAGATCTAACCTAGCATTACTTGGCTCTGTCTTAACATCAGAGGCTGGCATCATGCTCTTGGACTTCCTGGCCACAACAATAAGCCAAATACACCTCTGTTCTTTAATATGACCCACTCTATGGTGTCCAGTTATAGCAACAAAATCCAGAACGAGACACAGTTCAAGCTGCACAGCCAGTTAAGACTGCCTACTCAACCAAGGGACGGGTACTGTGAATTCTTAGAGGCAAGGTGGCAAGGAAGGCCAGCAGAGGCACCCAGCAAAGATTAGTCAAATGAATTTCCAATGAGTTAGTCATCATACACCCCTTTCTGCAAGCAGCCTTAGTTAAGTTAGGCCAACAGGAGACACCATTCCCAGTCTGGCTGGCTGCTTGAGGAAGTGAAGAAAACTTATGCAGTTTAAGGAGCTCATCATCACACCTCAGAGTGATCAGAACTGGGCAATCTGCACTGCACATTTTGAGGACAAGCAGGTAGCACAAATTAGGGCCACCCTAGGACGAATATCCTGCAAAAACCCACTTCTTTACTTAAGATTGGGGGTGAGAATCAAGCCCTTTTCTACCATCTTACTAATTTTGACCTTGTGCCAAAGATACCTATTTCTGGGGCAACATCAACCTACTTACATTTTAAAAAGTTCCTCCTCATCTTCCTCCAGCGTTTTAATTTCTTGCTCGGGAAGAGAAACTATTGGTTCAAACTGGGGGTCATGGTTGGACTCGTCTGCATTCTCAGTGGAGGTATCATGGTCCTCATGAGTATCCTGTGAAGAAAGGTGAGAAGCAATGTTGCTAGCCTATGGACTTGGCCTGCAGCCAAAGTTCAGTAGCACCCACAGTGCGCATCCCCAATAGTGAATGGCATCTGGAACACAAGGTCAGGCCTCCTCTCAAATTGGAAATAAAGCACACAGCCTTTCACATTAGCAAAGATTTGCATTTCTGTTCAGCTCCACAAAAATCACAGTATAAGCATGAAGCAAGACTACAGATTTCAGCAACCCTCCCCTACATTCAAAGTCAGATCTGTTCACAGACTGTAGCTCCTTGCAGAATGGCCTGGGAGAAACTCTCTCATCTCTTTGAGCCTGTTTCCTCTTCTGTGAAGACCGAAAACACAACAATGAACTAAAGAGGAGAGTTAGCCTTAAAGAAAAAAGTAACCAATAATCTGTGAAATATCCATGCTCTTACTTACTACAAGAATAACAAGCTGCTATGTGACTGCTAGTATTTACATAGACTTCACAATTCTCCCAGAAATCTTACCGTGGCTTGAAAAATGAAGTTGAAAGCTTGCTAAGCAAAGTTCCACAAGGAAAAGGCATAAGAGTCTAGCCCAATTTGGAGAATTCTGGGGCATAAATTGTATTTTAGGTCTGATTCGTGATCCAGAAGAAATCCTAGTCTCGCTATCAAACTCAGTAGGGGAAAGTAAATACAGGACCTTCGCTGCTCTTCCCTTGCTTTCACAGCACTGCGGCTCCGTTGCGGCCAGCACCAGACCAGTCACCAGCAGCCAACAAAGCCGCCCCCGCCCTGGGTCGGCGCATCTACGACCCCGTTCTCTCCCACCCAGAAACTCGAGTTTCCACCACAGAAGCTGGTGGCGGTTCCAGACGCAAGGACCAAATGAATGAAGGGCTGCGTGGGCGACACGCAGGGAGGGATGTAAAGTCCTAGTGGGAAGCCCGTAAACGTGGGCCGAACCAGAGGAAAGTAGTCGCCCACCCCGACCCCCTGCGAGAGGGGCCGCCCTGCTTCGCGATGGCTGTTCTCCGACCCACCCCAAGGTCACGCGGGCCTCCCACACCCCCTGCGACCAGAACCTGCGCCCCAAGGCCCCACGTGCCCCGACCCCACAGGCCTCGAGCCCTTGGGCCCCACGCGCCCCAACTCCGAGCTCAACAGGCCTCAAGTCGGATCACCGACGGGGGTTGGCGGCGGAGGCACGGGCCGCCCACGTGGCCTCCCATAGCGGCCCCAGCCCCTAGATTCCCACCCGTCCGCCCAAGTCCCCACCCGGGCCGCACCTTGGCGGCCGCCATGGGGGCGCGGCGGCGGCGGCTCGGCTGGCTCGGTCGTTGCTGACTCCGCGGCCTCTAGGTGGCTACTCGTAGCTCTTTTCCTCCGCGTCTGGCGCCGGCGCCTCCCGCCCGCCCGCTCGCTCTTCCCTCCGCCCCGCGACCCGAACCCCGACCCCTGACCCCGGCGGCGGGAAACGCGCCGTGATTCAAAACCAGTGCAGCTTTATTGGCTCAGGAGGCGGACACTCCCATTGTCCGGCCCGCCCAGTGCTTCCCGCCAAAATGCCCGCGGCGCATGCCCGGCCCGCCCATCAGCCCGGAGAGCGCGCTCTCCCGGCGGTCCCTGCGCGTACTTCCGTCCTCCGGAGGCGTGCCCCTACACTAGTGAAAAGGGGTGAGGGGGATCTGACCCGGAACATGGCAATGGCGTCACCGGAAGTTGCAATCATAGAGAGGCTTTCAGCTTGGGAGGCATGCAGTGGCCGAATACAGAGAGCCCGGTGCGGCGATCGCTGGGCGCGGGCCCCTGGCGGGCGGGCGGGTTAGTCCCATGCTGAGCCCTGGGGCGCGAATACTGCCTGGAACGGAGGCCTGAGGTACCCTCTCTGCGTCGCACCTGCTCTTAGAGCACCTCGCGTGCGACAGGTCCAGGACAACGCGGCAGCCTTCGTGGAGAGTCCCAGTCCAGGTGGCAGATGGCTCAGATGACGAGTGAGAAGATGGACAACGAAGTAAAGGGAGATGCGGGGAGGGCGGAAGTGGAGATGGGAGGAGGTGGGATAGGATAGGAATCTTGTGGGAGAAGAGATAGGAAATAAGGGTGTGAAACAAGGGTCAGAAGGAAATGGGAGTGGGGGCAGGAGGGTGGACATGTTGGAGTGGAGCTGGGTGTAGGGTGCACTAATGGAGGTCGGGTGCCGGAAAGGGCGTCTGGAGTGAGGGAAGGCTGTCAAGCCTGAGTCCAGCGCTCAGCCTGGTCCTTGTTTGTTGCCACGCAGGACCCAGAGCCCATGGAGGACTGCAGCCAGGATAGCTGCAGTGCCCTGGGGAACCCTGCAGCGCTGGCAGCCCAGGAGGAGCAAGAGAAAGAGGGGCCTGGGGCACCCGTAGAACCAGGGCCTCAACCAGGGCTCTACAGCTACATCAGGGACGATCTGTTCACCTCAGAGATCTTCAAGCTGGAACTGCAGAACTTACCTCGCCATGCCAGCTTCAGCGACGTCCGACGCTTTTTGGGTCGCTTTGGTTTGCAGCCCCACAAAACCAAACTCTTCGGGCAGCCACCCTGTGCCTTTGTCACATTCCGAAGCGCTGCTGAGCGGGACAAAGCCCTACGAGTGTTGCATGGTGCCCTCTGGAAAGGCCGCCCACTCAGTGTGCGCCTAGCCCGGCCCAAGGCTGACCCCATGGCCAGGAGGAGGCAGCAGGAGGGCGAGGTTGAGCCACAGACAGCACGAGTTGCTGATGTTGTGACCCCGCTTTGGACAGTACCCTATGCTGAGCAGCTGGAGCGAAAGCGCCTTGAGTGTGAGCAGGTGCTGCAAAGGCTTGCCAAGTAAGTGTGGGCACAAGGCGCCCTGCCCTCTGCTTCATTATGTGCTCTGTGCACTGGGTGGGACATCCGCCAGAGAGTCTAAGCTGTTTATCAGGGAGCTGGCCAGTAAGGCTCGTTACCAGTGGGAACAGTGAGGTCTCTAGGGAGGGAGCCAGTGTGGGTGAGAGGCAATGTGCTGAGTCCAACCATGGATCTGCTTCATTCTGCAGAGAAATTGGGAGCACCAACCGTGCCCTGCTGCCTTGGCTGCTCACACAGAGGCACAAGCACAACAAGGCCTGCTGCCCACTGGAGGGGGTCAGACCATCACCCCAGCAGGTGAGGCTAGATGGGGGTGGCCACAGACCCCCATCAGTATTTTCAGATTTTTTATATTTTGCAGTGCTAGGGGGATCACACCCAGGGCCTTGAGCATGCTAAGCAAGCATTCTACCACTAAGCTACACTCCTAGCACATCACCTTATTTTTGAAAAGCATTGCTTTTGCTCTTCCATTCCATCTCTCCCTTTTTGTTTTCTTGGTCTTTGGTCTCATCACATGACTATTATTCGTCTCTCATCTTTTGTCATGAAGGAATTGGGGTCTCTCACTCACTACAGTGTTGTCTCCAGGCACCATTGCTGTTCAGCCACAGTAAGATCTGGCTGCCCCACTCTGGCTCCTTCTCTCCCTGCAGACGGAGTATCGAAATAAGTGTGAGTTTCTAGTCGGTATCGGAGTAGACGGGAAGGACAATACTGTTGGCTGCCGGCTCGGCAAGTACAAGGGTGGAACGTGTGCTGTGGCAGCCCCCTTTGACACAGTGCACATCCCTGAGGCCACTAAACGGGTGGTGAAAGCCTTCCAGGAATTTATCCGGTAAGGATTTGGGACAAGCCTCCTGGGGAAGTGCTAAGGACATGGTTCGTACCCAGGCAGTTCTAGAGTGCCTGCCATTTGGCAACAGACCACAGGGGCTGCAACCCCCTCAGTTCTGGCTGTGAGTGCTTAGGGCCACTTGTGTCTCCTACAGGTCCACCCCATACTCAGCATATGATCCTGAAACCTATGCAGGTCACTGGAAGCAGCTGACTGTACGCACCAGCCGTCGAGGCCAGGCCATGGCCATTGCCTACTTCCACCCCCAGGTACTAGGCTGTTGGCCCTGCTCTAGGGTATCTGGTTTAGGGTCACTTCAGCATAGCCTTACAGGCCTTTTGTGCTACCTACTCCAGAAACTGAGCCCTGAGGAGATAGCAGGAGTGAAGACCTCCCTGGCACAGTACTTCATGGAGGGGCCAGGCAGGGCCAGTGGGGTGACCTGCCTCTACTTTGTGGAGGAGGGACAGCGGTAAGAAACCCAGGTGGGGCCAGGATGGGTTCCCACAGGGGTTGGTGGCAGACAGTTTTGTCCTTCCACAGAAAGACCCCCAGCCAAGAGGGCCTGCCCCTGGAGCATGTGGCTGGGGACCAGTGCATCCAGGAAGATCTGCTTGGGCTGACCTTCCGGATCTCCCCTCATGCCTTCTTCCAGGTAGGGGACACTGTTTAACCTCATTCTGCTGTAGAGAGCTGTACAGGGAGACCCTTGTAGGAATTAGGACTTGGAGTAGCTAAGAACCTGTTGGAGGGCCAGAGAGGTAAGGCTGGCATATAGAGCCAGAGCGCTCCAGGAGCCCTGGCCTAATTTATAGGAGGCCAAGGTACCCTCTGCTGGCATGGAGAGGGGGCTCTACAAGTCTGCTGATTCAGAGAAAAAGGAATGTTGTTGCCATATTTTGGCCAGGAGACTAGTGGTCACTAGTATCACGTGGATTGAGAGGTGGAGTAGCAGTAGCACTACAGCAGCAGACCTCAGCTCTCAGGAGGATGGAGCCAGGACTCTGGGTAGCATAGGAGTGCTGGGCCTGCTTCTAGGATGTACCTGAGGGCACTTTCGCCACCTTCCAGGTAAACACGCCTGCAGCTGAGGTGCTCTACACAGCCATCCAGGAGTGGGCACAGGTGGATGAGGGAAGTACAGTGCTGGATGTGTGCTGTGGCACCGGCACCATTGGTCTGGCCGTAGCCCAGGTGAGCCCTCCTGCCTTGGCTGAGGATGCCCCATCTCCACCCTGTAACCCCCTCTGGCCTTCAGCTTCAAGGCTCAAAGGCTGACCATCAAGACAGTCCAATTCTGCTGCCCACTCCCCTCTCTCTGAGAATCCCAAAGGCAGAGCGTTGTCTGTGCCTTTTTCTTTTTTTTTGGTTTTTTGGTTTTTCTCCAGTACCGGGAACCGAACTCACGACCTTGCGCTTGCCAGGCAGGCGCTTTGCCGCTGAGCTAAATCCCCAGCCCCCGTCTGTGCCTTTTTCATTTCAGAAAGTGAAGCGAGTCATTGGGATTGAGCTGAGCCAGGAGGCTGTGGAGGATGCACGGGTGAATGCCCATGCCAATGGTGAGAGCCTTTAGGCCATGGAGCAGATGGGCAGGGTAGAGGGCAGCAGTCATCTTGTTGTATACTTTACCCATTGTACTTGGGATCCACCCCATGGTTCCCAGATCCTACTGGGGAGTAAGGCACAGAAGAACCTAGACCTGTGTGACCCAGCACCACAGCTGCCTGACAGGGAGAGCAAGCTCCTTCTCAGTGTATTCCCAAGGCTCCTCCATCTCCTCCTAGGGCTGGCCCTGAGAGGGAGGGTCCCTAGGGTCCACTGACAGCTATGGTGCTACCTCCAGAGTTGAGCAACGTTGAGTTCCACTGTGGGAGGGCAGAGGACCTGGTGCCTGCCCTGGTGAGCAGACTGGTCTCCCAACAACTTGTGGCTATCCTGGACCCACCCCGAGCCGGCCTGCGTGAGTAGCTTCCACTTGGGGAGGTGGCACAGGGAAGAAGACAACCAATGCTGAATGGACTGCCAGGCTGTGCAGTTTTGGGCCTTATAGACTTAATCAGTGTCTGTGCCTTCTCAGATTCCAAGGTGATCCTGGCTGTCCGCAGAGCTGAGAACCTCAAGAGGATCTTGTATGTCTCATGCAATCCTCGGGCAGCCATGGGCAACTTTGTGGAGTGAGTTTTGGGGAAAGGCCTAGGGTGGAGCTGGGCACAGCACCCACCTGCCTCCCATAGGACCCCCTGGCTGGTCCTACTGGGCTCACTTTGGCACTCTTTTCTTACTGCAGCCTCTGCAGGGCCCCATCCAACCGGGTGAAGGGCACTCCCTTCCGACCAGTCAAGGCTATGGCTGTGGACCTGTTCCCACAGACCCCACACTGTGAGATGCTCATCCTGTTCGAGAGGATGGAGTACCCTAATGGCACAGGGCCCCTGGCACATCAAGATCCTCCAACCCAGCCTCTACCAGGGCTCCCTGATGATACTCCACAGGAAACTAGCACGTCCCTCTCAACCTAGGACCTGGGGGAGGCAGAAGCCAGCTCTTCTGAGCAGGGCCCATCATGGAGCAAAAGCTATGGGGGCGCTCCCCACAGCCTCCCTCATTCCAGGATGCTCAGGAAAACAAATAGAGGACGCAAGGCTCAACTGCCCCACTAGGATCAGCCAGTCTGTTGCCACAGGCTGTGGTTCTAAAGGTGGGTGGAATCCTGCAGCCTGCCTGTCCCCTACCCGAATCCTTCCTGGAGTAGCCAGACTCAGAGACAGAATAAACAACTGCTGAACTAAGGGT